TTACACATCGACCAGCATCTGGCCAATCCACCACCTCTCATTGTTTATACCGTTACATGACAACAACAAAAAAATTGGCCCATAAAAATGAAAAATCACCATCGACCCAGCGGGCAAATGCCTGGTATGCCCCAGTCCAGCTATGGTCGTGCCATCAGTTAACCCTTCGCGTGCCCAGGGTTGCCGACCCCTGATTTATTCTTATTTAATTCACTTAATGTACAGAATTCACCTGCTTGCTGCATACATGCTACTACTGCACATTCACCTAATGTATATAATAGATAATGTTCTTCCTCTCTTCCCCCCTTTTAGTCGAGGAGCATGTCAGGTTACACTTCACTGTGTGTTATACTTGTATGACTATGCATGTGACAAATAAAGAACCTTGAACCTTGAACCTTGGGACCATTTTATGAACCTGCTCGAAATCCAAGCTAAGAGTTTTCACTCACAGTTTAGATTTAGAGAACAAATATGACCTGGTGAGAGTCAGGCACTAGGTCAGCACAGCGTCAGCTGCTCCTCTAAAGAAAGAGTGTGTGTGGTGGCGGTTTGTCAGCAGCGGCCTGAACACACGGTTAGGTTAGGGTGAGACGGCCGAAATGATGCTTACCCGGTGCGTTTAAACGGGACACTATGGTTGTGCTCTACACGCATCCATGTGGCATGTGTGTGTCGTTAATGCCATAAATCCAGAGCATGCGACACGGATGCCACAGGGAATCTTTGAGTGCCTCTGAGAGACGAGCTGAGGACATGGAAAGTCTCAGTCAGTTAATAGATGCTGATTTTGCTTTCATCACGCTTTTATCAAAGATGGCGAGCACTCGCTCATTTCCACCTCTATTTGGAGCTTTGTTTCCCCCCCCCAACAGATCAGACGATGACGTGCGGCCTGGCTCGCTGTGATGCTCGGAGGCAGCAGCGTGGGAGGTTCACATCGGCCCGTGTGGGCGGGCTCGCTGAGCCCCCTCGCTCTTGTCATAGTTACATCCCAGAGAGGGAGGGATGGCGAGCCTGAGTCACGATCAGGGCCTGGCTTCAGGCCACAGGAACTCCCAAAGCAGTGTCTGTTCCTCGTCCTATTTTCAGCACGCTTTTCCTCCGGTCTGTCGTCACGACTGTCACGACTCATAGCCGGTCAGGACCTGGCCTCAGATCTGAACATACTGGACTCCCCGCTGTGCTGCTTCTCAGTGAGGGTGCCCATCCCACAGACATTGGCCCAGTTTTATTTATACAGCACCAGGACACTGGAGGTCTTCTCAGGAAGCTTTGCATTTTAAGGCAAAGATGCTGAAATATCAGACGATCTCCTACACGCAGCACAGGAAACAGCAGGAAGGAAGAACTCCTGACCAGCCCAGTGAGGTTGGTTTTCCAGTTCGTACGAAGCTCTGCGAGTGCGAGGGCCCCTGCAGGTTCCAAAGTGCTGGCTGAGCAAAGTTCCTCAGGCGGCCTCTGAGAGGACTGAGAAAACACAAGACTCAAAAACTCCCTCTGCTGTCGAGCTTTTATTCTGAACATCTGAATCCTGCTGTGCTCTCACGTTAGCCTTACCTGCAAACAGGTGTACGTTTTCAAATTACACCAGGGATATCAACTCATTTGGTTCAAAACATGCCAGTTAACCTAACCAGTAGCTTATTCCTGTGAAGGGCTGCCTACCTGTCCAGGTTGAAGGAGGTGGAGCGCATTCACGCCTCGCGGCCTTAACGTCTGTGCTCTCTCTGCTGTTGTGTTGTCGGGCTGTGAGCTGCAAAGCTACAGCCGGCTGTATGCGTACAGCAACCATGTGTGAAAAGTGGTCATTAAAGAGATGCTGAAAAGCGTGTTCATGGAAACATCGTCGGATCTGCCGTGATATCTTTACAACGGGACTTCTGCTCCTGAACCTCTGCACACAGCGTCTGCAAATCGGGGCTTTCATCTTTACGCAGGACTGTAAGCTGTCGTCTGTGAGGCGTGAGCGGTGTTTGTTTTTAACATAGTTCACAGTGGAGAAAAACATAAATAAAATACACTTCAGCTAAATACTTATAATTTATTTTCCCAAACCACCCGGAGCCGCAGTATAAGGACTAAAGAGCCGCAGGTTGCCGACCCCTGGTGTAACCCCTGCGAGTCATCATACAGTTTGAGGAGGAGCTGATTAACGCGACTGAAAAAAATCGCACAGTGGCTGTGTCCCAATTAAGAGGCTGCACGCTTGAAGTACGCATTTTAAGTGCGGTTACGTCACCGCCACGCGACGACGGCTGTCCCAATTCGAAGTGTACTCCAAATCCGCCGTCGATCTTTCCCC